CAAATATTTATGGCCTGAAATACGTGCATCTTTTAAAAAGAAGAAAGTAGAAAACCAGTGAACTAAGTTTCAGACTTAAGACATTAGGAAAAATTATCTATAGATCAATTGAAAATAAAATAGATGTTAGGGAAAGAACAAGAGAACTCCAAAAAATCTAAAAAGGAAGAGAAAAAAAGAAAAACCATTTATCACCACAAGCTATAAGAAGGCTGATCAAGCCAAACATTAGTCGCTTAAAACTTCTGGTAGATTCCTTAAAAAAAAAAGAAGAGTAATAGTGAAAAAATATATGAAGTAATATAATACTAAATAGTAATAATAATAGTAAATAAATAAATGAAGAAGAGGACAAGACTAAACAGAGGAGCTATTAGAAACTATAAAAATTTACTACATGTGGCAAGAAAAATAGCAAGCGCAAATAATCCTAAAGCCATTATAGAAAAGTAGGAGTAATTAAAAAATTTCCCCAAGAGAATACAAAAATTTTTTGGCAGATCCAAAAAATTCTGCCAAATTTTCAAGAAACAGATCATTCCAATCTTATAGAAGCTCTCCCAGAAGAAATGCTCTCCAACTTATTCTAGGAGGCCAGTATAATTTTGATACCAACACCAGATAAAAACAGCATGAAAAAAAGAAATTAGAGCCTTATTTTACTCATTAATATGGATGAGTTCTAATAAAATATTAACTGAATCTAATTGCACATGAAAAAAATAACATGCTACAAGTTGGAGTCATAGGAATTCAAAGGCTCTTTAATATTTTCATATCTATACATTTGATTTATTACATTAAGAGAGCAAATGATCCTAAGTGGTTTTATATATATATATATATATATATAGCTATACATACATATATATAAAACCATATATGATCATATCAACAGATCCAGGAAAAAAGCATGATAAAATTCAACATCCATTCATGATAAAAAGGCACCTTGACTTGATAAAGAATATGTATAAAAACTTACAACAGGGGCCTCCCTGTTTGTCCAGTGGTTAAGAATCTGTCTTGCAATGCGAGGGACACCGGTTCAATCCGTAGTCCAGGAAGACCCCACGTGCTGGGGAGCAACTAAACCGGCACCTCACAGCGACAGAGCCCATGAGCCTAGAGCCTGTGCTCCGCCACAAGAGGAGCCGCTGCAGGGAGAAGCCCGTGCTTGCCACAACTGGAGAACGCCGCTCCGTGCAGCAACGAACACCCACCACAGACAAAAAACAATCTTAAAAAAAACCGTACAACATAAGTCATCATAAATGGGAAACTAATAGAATTATTCCCTTTAAAGGCAGAAACAACAAGGTCAGAAACAACAGGATGTGTGTGCTGAAAATACAGAATCTGTAGGCGGCAAACTGAAAATGTGATGAAAGAAATCATAGAATACCAAATAAACGAGGAAATGTATTATATACATGGATTGGAAGACTGAAAATAGTAAAGGTGTCAAATCTTCCCAAAACAGTCTTCAGATTTAATGCAATTCCAAGCAAGACCCCAGAAGGATTATTTTGCGGATATAGACAATCTAATTTTAAAATTTATATAGACAGGCAAAAGAATTAGAAAAGTCAGTTTTGAAAAAGAAGAAAATTGGAGGAATCACATTTCTCAACTCTATGACTTACTGTAAAGACAACAGTAATAAATCACATCAGTGTATATCAGCAAAGGGATTAGCACATAAATCAATGGAAGAGAACAGAGTCTAGAATTAGACCCACATAAATACAGCCATGTTAATTTCTGACAATGGCAAAACTGCAGTTCAATGGAACAAAGACAGTCTTTTCCAGAAACCAGTGTTAGAACAATTGGACGTCCATATGCAGAAAAGGGACCTTATCGTGAGGCTTTATTAAAAAATTAACTGCAAGACTGAAATCCGTGGTTAGGAGAATGTTTCTCACTGTGGGAAAATACCTGCCACATATCTGTTAAAGAACTTTCTTCAGAATACATAAAGAACCCTCAACTTCAATAGTCAGAAAACTCTAAAAATTAGGAAAATACTCTGAGCAGACACTTCCCTAAAGAGGATCTACAGACAGCAAATAAGCACATAAAAACATGCTTGACATCACGAGATATTAGGGACATGCAAACTAAGGCCTTGTGCGTGGTCTACAAGCCTTGCAGGCCTCTTCACAGCAAGGTCATCTCAGACTGTAAACTCCAGGAGGGCAGGGGACTTGTTTCTTCTACAATGGCTGAAATACAGGAATCCTTACCACAGCAGGTCCGAGTAGAGATGCAGAGCCCCCAGAACTCTCGGCACTGCTGGCAGAGATGGGAAATGGTGCAGCCACCTCGGGAGGCAATTTGGGCAGTTTCTTATAAAGTTACTGGAGAAGGAAAAGGCTACCCACTCCAGTACTCTGGCCTGGAGAGAATTCCATGGACCGTATAGTCATGGAGTCGCAAAGAGTTGGACACAACTGAGTGACTTTCACTTCACTTTATAAAGTTAAGCAATCCCAATCCTAGGTATGACTTTCCCAGAGAAATAAAAATGCACATTCACACAAAATCCTGGACATGACTGTTCACAGCAGGTCTATTCATATTCATCCCAAACTGGAAAACAACTCAGATCTTCTTCCACAGGTGGACAGATAAGCAGTGATATATCCACATGGTGGAATATGGCTCAGTAATATACAGGAATAAGTTACTAGGCTTCCTGGCCACTCAGTGGTGAGAAATCCGCCTGGGATTCCCAGGAACTGCAACTGCTGAGCCCAAGTCTGAGTGCCCTGGAGCCCATGCTCCACAGCAAGACCAGCCATTGCATCTCACGGCCACTGAGAAGTTCATGACACCCACTAGACATAGCCCCCGATCCCCAAAACTAGAGAAGAGCCCACGCAGCATTGAAGACCCAGCACAGCCAAAAATAAATAAATAAATGATAAAAAATGTAAATAAAATAAACGCCAGCCTGAAATATGAGCCAAGATGGCTCATCCATTCAGTCCCCATGAGGTTGAACACCAACAACAAAAAGAATAAATTACTGATACAAGCAACTACTTGCATGAACCTGAAAAGCATTATGTTGCATGGGAGAAGCTAGTCTCAAAAATCCATGGTTCCACTCCTATGACTGTCTCAAAAGGATCAGTTCAGTTCAGTTCAATCGCTCAGTTGTGTCCAACTCTTTGCGACCCCATGAACCTCAGCACACCAGGACTCCCTGTCCATTACCAGCTCCCAAAGTCCACCTAAACCCATGTCCATCGAGTCGGTGATGCCATCCAACCATCTCATCCTCTGTCATCCCCTTCTCCTCCTGCCCTCAATCTTTCCCAGCATCAGGGTCTTTTCAAATGAGTCAGCTCTTCTCATCAGGTGGCCAAAGTATTGGCATTTCAGCTTCAACATCAGTCCTTCCAATGAATACCCAGGACTGATCTCCTTTAGGATGGACTGGTTGGATCTCCTTGCAGTCCAAGGGACTCTCAAGAGTCTTCTCCAACATCACAGTTCAAAAGCATCAATTCTTCGGTGCTCAGCTTTCTTTATAGTCCAACTTTCACATCCCTACATGATCACTGGAAAAACCATAGCCTTGACTAGATGGAGCTTGGTTGGCAACGTAACGTCTCTGCTTTTTAATATGCTGTCTAGGTTGGTCATAACTTTCCTTCCAAGGAGCAAGTGTCTTTTAGTTTCATGGCTGCAGTCACCATCTGCAGTGATTTTGGAGCAAAAGGATAAAGTTCGACAATTCCCAGGGGAGGTGGGAGGGGAAGCGCAGCATGAGGGTTTTTGCATGGTGGAACTATTCCACATACACAGTTACATGACTCCACACACTTGTGAAAATTCCCAAGCTGGTACACACGCCCACACAAAAGTCAGTTCCACTGTATGTTGGTTTAAAAATCAAACAGTAGAAGCTAAGAGTGCAAGTTGGAACTTGCACCAATGATTATTCCCATGTACTTTCAATGATATCAGTATTTTCAAAGTCCTCATTATAGCAGAATTCCTTAAAGTGCCCAATACCAGTTGTCCATTTTCTTCAGTTATACAAATTTGATTTATTCACAGGGAAAAAAATAATGTAGGAGTCAGACATGGATTGGAATAGGAAATGGCAACACACTCCAGAATTGTTGCCTGGAGAATCCTGTGGACAGAGGAGCCTGGCAGGCTACAGTTTGTGGGTCACAAAGAATCAGACACAACTGAGTGAACCCCAAGACATGGATGCTTATTACTACTGCTTCTAAATAACTTTGACGGGAAGATCAAAAAACAGAAGACAGAAGGATTGGAAGGGAAGAAAGCAAATCATCATCATTTGCAAGTTGGGGGGAGGGAGGCTAAGAAACACACAGTAAAGGGGGTGCACCCCCTCCTCGGCGCAGATGTTCTGGACCAAGGCTGACCTGAGCCAGGAAAGAGGGCATCTGTGGATGACCTCTGGACCCTTGTGATGAACAGGATGAAAGACTTTACTACTTAGAAAACAGGTTATTGTTTTAGCACCGAAACTGACTAAGCTGTGAGAACTGCCAGACCATCGTCAGGCGCCAGAAGCATTGAAAACACCACATGTTACGAGGAAATCAGCTTGCTGATTGCTCTGAACGGGACAAGCCCATTCATCACGGTGAGGAGACCGTGAGGACATGTGGAAGCAACAAAAGCTTGGGGCCAAGACTTGAGACCGCCCCACCCTGGACGCCTTCACTACATCCACGGTCCACCGCCGAGAGAGACAGGAGACGCCGCAACGTCCCAGCTCACAGTAAACAAGAGCAGTGCCTTCCCTTCCTTCTTGGAATTTACAATCTAAGACCACTGTGATGTGAGTGGTGGGTGAGTCTCAGAGCCTAGATCTTCCGCATTAAAACTGAGACCTGTAGAAACAAAAGGGTAAGTGCACTTGGCAGAAGGAGCGTGCGAATAAGGGAAGAAAATGACGTGAGAGAATGAGACGACCTTGACATGGGGCTGAACAGGGAGCCAGGATGCTGCGGAAGCTGCAGGTGAGGGAATGAGGTGAGTTAACTGGTCTGCGTGATGAAAGACAACTTTCCTCCCCCTCTGGCCAGAGTTACTCAACTATGTGCATCAACTGGCACTTGTTGTATGAGATTTTTCTTTCTGAGTAATCCTGTACCTTGGCAAGCATGTGAAACATAGTTTTTGTAACTTAAGAAAAAACATTTCTGGTATCTGTTAGCTGCAATCAGAACAGCCCTAAACTGTGCTTTGGAGAGAATCTGTTTTCTGATTTCACGAAAGCCGCCGTGCTTTATCAGCGGGCTCACTTTCATTGTCGTTTGATGTTTTCCTTTATTAAAAATCATGCATTTTAGCAGGGACTCGCACAGATGTTAGTCCACCCATGTTCGCAGCAGTATTATTTGCGACAGCCATTGATTTGTGGAATCAGTTCAGGTGTCTGTGGAGAGATGAATGGACAAGCAAAATGTGGGCTAGCCATCCAACAGAATATGACTCGGTCATGGCACCTGCTGCAACGTGGATGATCCTTGAAGACATTACACTCAGTGAAATTCACCAGCCACAAAAGGAAAGATGCTGCAGGATTCCATCTATAGGGTACCTGGAGTAGTCAAACTCTTAGAGACAGAATGCAGAACAGTGGTTGCCAGGGGCTGGGGACAGGGAGGAGTGGGGTTTTATTATTTGATGGGGAGAGATTTTCAGATTAGGAAAATAAAAAGTTCTATAGATGGTTAGTGGTATTGTTTGCACAACAAAATGAGTGTCCTTAATGCCACTGAACTATACACTCAAAAATCACTAAAATGGTAAATTTTAATGTTCTACATATTTTACCATACAAAAAAATTTGTTTCCAATTGAGAATTATATACATTTCAGGTTAATTTATCCTTTCACATACTATTTGCTTCTAAGTGTCGGCCATCAGGAATAAAGCTGCCGTAAACATCCACATGCAGATTTCTGTGTGGAAATAAATCCTTTGGGTCAATACCAAGAAGCACAACTGCTGGACCATGTGGTCAGAATATGTTTACTCTTGTAAGAAACTGCTAAACTGTCATGCGGGTGGATGGAACCGCTTTGTGTCTCCGCCAGCAGTGCACGAGAGTGCCCATTATCCCGCATCCTCACCAGCACTGGGTTTCGTCAGTGTTTCGGGTTTTGGCCGTTCTTGTAGGCGTGTAGTGATAGCTCACTGTTTTTTTAGCTTGCAGTCCCCTGAGGACATGTGATGTTGAGTGTATTTTTTTTTTAGTGAGGTTTGTGAGCACATGCTTGAATGACACGAAAACTCAAGATGTTTGTCGAATGTGATTTAATTTTCTTTTGGAGAGCTCATGAGAAGCAGGAGAATACTCATCACTGGGAAAGCTAAATCTGTCAGGCTTCCATGGGGTTAACTTAGGGCCGAGGGTTATCTTTACGCTCCCTTAGCTGGGGGACGGCGCCGCGCTTCCAGTCTCGGGTCACTACAGGCCTCAGCGGGCCCTTCAGGCCTCTCAGCCACGCTTCCAGGACGACGGCCCATCCTCGCCCCACAGCTGCATCCAGCCCCACTGCACGGCGCTGAGAGCTGTCTTCTCGGGCAAGGAAGCGACTGCCGCGCTCTGGGTCCCCGGGCCCCCGGACGGCTCCGTGCTGGGCCGCCCCGTGCCCTCTGACACAGGGCCCCCACCCCTCCCACNCCCCCCTCCTGCACCTCCGAGTCCTGCTCCTGGGGCCCCGAGACCTCCCTCACTGCTGGTGGCCCCTGCCCAGCTGTCACGACTCCCCTCCAGGACGGCCCCTCAGGGCCTCACCCGACGCCCCTCCCCTGGCTCCACCTGCCCGTGTCTGAACGCCGAGCACATGCGTGTCTCACAGACCTGCTTCTCCCTGACTGGGAAGAGCAGTGTCTCCTCCTCTTGAATTCCTTGGCATCCAGCCCGCTGCCCCAAGGAGCTGAAAGCTGTGTGAGGTTAAGGCTGGGAGACGCTGTCTGGGCTGCAGGCTCGGGGCATACGGCCTCCTGGATGCAATCGCACGGTCTTTTCTCTCACGAGGCCACCCTGTCTGCCAGCGCTTGGAGAGCCAAGGTTCACGGTGGGGAGGGGAACGGGGTGATGGACAACACCACGGTTTCTCGTAGGCTGACACCCAATAATCTGCCGAGAAGACCCTGATTCCAGAACCATCGGTATTTTCAGGATGCGTATTTGGCGCAGCAGCAGCAGCTGAGGTTTCAGGCTCTCCCGACTTCAGGGGCCTGGGCCCCCCAGAGCCGACGGCCTTCTCCTTTCACCTGCTGGTGATGAAGACCCACCAACAGGACCCAGCTCCACGCTCGCCAAGCAACTGGAGCTGCAGATGACTCCGGCACGGTTTACTCTCAGCACGTTCCACGCGGCGCAGCTTGTCATGTGCCGAAAGGGAAGTATTCTGGCACGTCACCCTTTCCTAAGAGCCCTGGGGTAGGAGTCCCAAGGCCAAATCTCAGGGTGCATTCTTTCCCTGAGAGAAGCTCTCACAGGAACGGAATGGGCTTGATCCCCTCTTTCCCTCGAGCTCCGTGATGACTGCCCCGCCCCCCGGGGCATGGGCTGGAGCAAGGGCGTCCATGGACAGGGAGGAGGTGTGATCACCCCCATCTCCCCTCTCGCACTGGCAGGAAATCCCCACTAGCAGCTGTGTCTCCAACTGAATGAAAATGCAAGAAAGGAGGCCAAAAATGGTTGGAAAGCTCCTCAAGCTTGTCCCAAACAGTGCAGTGCAACTGTGTGGGTGGGCAGGAGACCCCAGGGGCTTTACACACCAAGGCAAACCCTGCAAGGAACACGGCGATGCGTCCTATGTGAAGATTTCAGGCCAAACTCAATACACAGCAAAGGCATCAGCAGAACAGCACAGCAAAGGCTGCAGAGGGAGGTGGTAGAGTCTCCTCTTCAGCACCGCACAGGAAATCGTGCCGCGAGCGTGCAGGTCTCCAGCTCATGGACTTAACCACTATCACTGGTGCCCCAGACCGCAGGGTAAGGAGCCGCACTCAGGGCCCTGAAAGTGCATTTTCCTCATGAAGAGCCATCATTTCACTTCCAAAGGCCAGAAGTGGCCCCACAGATTCTGTGGTAATTCTTTCCTGTCCTGCAGTTTGGTCCTTTTGTGATAGAACCGCATTTCAGGCCAAGCTAGGGATGAACTAAAATCTTATTCTTACAGTTTTGCAAAAGGCTGGTAAAACAGATAAATATCTGAAATGTTCTTGGCCGGAGGCAGGATATGTCAATAAATGATTGTGAGATGTACAAACACTCCACCCGCTGACTCCCAAAGTGGGCAATTCCAACATGGAAACAGGAATTAGAAAATCACACCTAGGACTTCCCTGGTGATACAGTGCATAAGAATCCATCTGTGGATGCAGGGCCATGAGCTCAGTCCCTGGTCTGGAAGATTCCACATGCCTCGGGGCAGCTAAGCCCATACGCCACAAATATTGGGCCTGCATGCTGCCACCACTGAAGCACACGCGTCTGGAGCCCGTGGTCCACACAAGGAAAACCGCCCCACGAGATACCCGGGCGCTGCAAGGCAGGCGGCCCTGCACGCCACAACCAGAGAAAGCCTCACGCAGCAGTGAAGACCCAGTGCAGCCAAATATGAATTCATAAATATTGGTTTAGAAAAAGAATATCACACCTAGAAGCAGGTAAGTTGGCCACCAACCCTGTTACTCCCACTAACAGATCATAGATTTTTTTTTTTTAAGTCTATTACTCTCTTCTGTAAAGTATTAGATAACAACATTCACATGCTGCCAGGTTACTGGGAGAATTGTATGAGTTAATGTGTGGGAACATATCAAGTATTATACACTCTGAGGTCTATTTGTTGTTGTCAAAGTCCTTTTAGGAAAAAAAATACGTTGATAAGCTCATAAAATTGTAGTAGGGAAAGTCGCTCAGTCGAGTCATTTATGAAAAGTGAAAGTCGCTCAGTTGTGTCCGACTCTTTGCAACCCCACGGACTATATAGTCCATGGAATTCTCCAGGCCAGAATACTGGAGTGGGTAGCCTGTCCCTTCTCCAGGGCATCTTCCCAACTCAGGGATTGAACCCAGGTCTCCTGTATTGCAGGTGGATTCTTTACCAGCTGAGCCACAATGGAAGCCCCAAAATGTAGTAGAATTAAGCACTCAGTTCAGGTCAGTTCAGTCGCTCAGTCATGTTCAATTCTGCGACCCCATGGATGCCAGGTTTCTCTGTCCATCACCAACTCCCAGAATCGAGCACTAATAAACCTATATATCTAGTACAATAACAGCCAAAACTGTAGAATTTTACTCTTTCTTCCAGGAAAGGCCTATAAGCAAAATATTCATACTCTGTTCTCAGTGACAAGTTCAACTGTCAGTAGATGAGTTCAGAACCCAGAAGATATGTTCAAACATATTCCTAACCTCATGACGTGTCTGGATCTCTCCATTTAGCCTAGGGAAATCAGAAAGATATACTTCTGTGTTAAAAGCACTTTCTCAAGAAAAATTCCACAGGGAGCTCAAAGTTTTCTGATCTTTCAGAGGAAAAGCTTGGATGCATATTCCACTCACTTTTTAGCAGTTCTTTAAGCACCTCCTGTGACTAAGGTACCCGATTAGATGCTGGACCCTCAAGTAGCCTCTGGTGTAATGGACATTAAATGAATACATACAGTGCCGTCTAACTGCAGAGGTAAAACAGACACACCCTGGTTACATGGGCCACCTGTCAGCTTGCTTTAGTGCTGCCTGAGTGTGGGCATAGGGCCCTGCGACCTGGGTTCCTTTCTTTGGCTGAAAGGACTTCTTGCCTTGTCTGGTTATAAAGAGCCATGCTTCTGTCTCCTTCAAGACAAAGGAAAACCAACTTGTGCATTTCTCGTGAACAGAGTGTGACTGGCGGGATCATTGCCCTCAAGCCTGTTCTCATGTTATGACTTCAGTTTTCATAGTTTGGGTAAGGGAGTGGGGAAAGCGGCTCTTGGATTTCATTCGATGTTTTTTTTTAAGGAGTCAGACACTATTCGGATCAACTGGAAGTGAAGCCTGCACTGGACCAAGCCACTCCCAGCGCAGCTCTGCCTGCACCTGACCCTGACCTGCAGGGCCCCCGCCAAGCCCCCTCAGGCTGCCGGGCGCTAGGAGTTCCTGCTGGTGTGCCCGGCAGGCAGGACTCAGGGGAGAGGAGACCAGACTCGTCCGTCCTTTTTGGTTAAGCCAAAGCTTTGTGTTTTATTGTTTGTGTGGTTATTTGTTTAGTTGCCTGCTGCTCCAGGGGAATATCTAGCACCAAGGGTATGGCTGGCCTGTGAGGCACCGTCATGTGACTCCCCAGAAAAGCCCCCTTTGCACAGGTCACCCCCTCTGCTCAGATGGAGGCCCCAGGACAAGGGTCCGGTGGTCTGAGCTCTGGTGACCCCAGCCCCATCCAACCCACCTTGGCTTCGTGCAGTGCGCAGACTGCACAACAGCGTGGCAGCCGGCTTGGGTTCTGCACTGCAGGCTCTAGAGAGAACCATCACTTCTGTGTTCAAACAACACTCATGTACATCAACTAAATTTCCATTTAAAGAATGCTGAATGTTTAAATGCTCTCTTTACTGGGGGATTATCCTTTTCTTTCTTTGGTATACTTTTCTTTATAAAATGCCCAAAGAAGTAGTATTAAAAATGTATTTTAAAAACTTACCTAAGTAGAACTTAACTTGAAAATCCTAATGTTAGTTTTGACTTCATGTTCTGCTTTTCCCCGTGGTTTTCATTCCTAGATTTTAAAGGATATGTGTTAACACTTCTTTATCTGAATCTTCTTCCTATCCTTGTCACATTCCATAAAATTCCTGGGAAAGACAATCAGCTTTACATCATCAAAGAGATTTTAAAGGATTTTACAGGATGCCTCCTTTGCTTCATTACTGTTTTGAAAGAAGAGACGGAGTTCTGACACAGCGGCCTAGAGAAAAATCCCCATGGGGTTCTTCTGGTGGGTGCGTTTCATTGGTGGCTCAGTGGTGAAGAATCTGCCTACCAATGCAGGAGATGTGGGTTTGATCCCTGGGTTGGGAAGATCCCCTGGAGAAGGGCATGGCAACCCACTCCAGTATTTTTGCCTGGTAAATCCCAGGGACAGAGGAGCCTGGCAGGCTACAGTCCATGGGGTCACAAACAGCTGGACAAAAACAAGAAGGAACTAGAACAGGCACTACCGCGACCAGGGGAGTGAACCCAAATGCCAAGTGTCTATTGCATTAGGGAATAGTTGTGGTGTACCCAAAGTGTTCCTTAGGGCTGAACATTTAATTGGATGTTTCATAATTCCTGGAGACTCCACCAGTGAGCCATGAAACTCAGAGTGAAACCAGAGAGTTGCAGAACAGACAACATTAAGAAGTCAGTTTCTCAGGGGTAATTACAGGATGCTTCTTCTTAAGGGTGAAAACAATTCTCTTAGCTCCTCGCTGCGGGTGGGGTGGGGAATAGGTGAAATTCAGGCGCAGCACAGTCAGGTGGGGTCTGACCTACCAGGACACGCTGCCTGTACAACAGGCGGTGAATAAGCTTTTGTTGAACTTCTGGGGCGGGGCGGCTTTCACGGGCCTTCAGCTGTGACAGATGACCCGCCCAGGACCCTGTCTCTTTAGGGGAGAAACGCTTTCAGGGAGCCCAGAGCAGCTGGGGTGGGGAAGGGGCGGGCTGGCAAGAACCAAGAACAGTTCTGCAGGCCAGGGGCTCCTGCCCATTCTATGTAAACCACTGCCGCTGGACGTTGAAGCTTGCTCCCCAAAGGCCGCCGCAAATACACATACACACAGACTTAGAGACACAGTCGGGGAACACTTTCTTCTCGACTGGGTAAGGGAATTGTTTAGAGAGTGCGGTGCTTTTTCACCCCAGCAAAAGCGGTCCTGGAGTTCTGGGCAGCCTTGGGGGGCGGCCGTGGGATTCAGGAGCTGCCTGGGAAAGGTGGGCGGGGGTCTCCACGACCTTCGCAGACTGTGCTGGACTCCCGATTCGGAACCTCACCCCGGGGAGTGCTCGGAGGAGACCCAAGTAGAGGGGACGGAGGAGTCTAGTAGAGGTAAAAGTGGGTGCAGCCACAGCAACCAGGGACCTAAGAGGTGGGGGAATCCTCTGCGTTGCGTGGACCGCGGGCTGGGTGCTGGCGGCCACGCTGCTGCTCCGCGCGCACCCGGGCGTCCCCTCCGAGCGCTGCAGCGACGAGAAGAGCCGGCGCATCCTGGCCGCGCTGGTAGGTGCTGTGGCCGCACTGCCCCGCGCCGCGCGCCCCGGGGCCGGGGTGGGGCGCCCTCTGAAGGTCCTGGGAGCCGGGGACTCAGGCGCGGCCGTGGATCCACTGGGAGGGGGTCCGGACACCGGGCGTGGAATGCCCGACGCGTCCCACCCGGTCTCCAGCCCGGGACTCTGCCCGGGAGTCCTCTGAGCGCCTGTGGGGACGTCTTCCCCCATGTCGCCCAACTGGTCCTTTGTCCGAAGATGCTTTTCCTGTCCGACTATTCTCCCGCAGGCCCCGAGACCCCGCTCCTAAGCAAAGTTTACGGGTCCGCTCCCAGCCTTCTGACTCGGACCGCGGCCCTAGGGTCGGGCGGGGACCACGCCTCGGCCCCTGGGGTCCCGGTTCTCTCTCTCAGCCGCCGTTCTGTGATTCCGATCTGGGCTGCACCTCGCCGAGCCCCCCGCAGACGGCCAGTGGGGCCCCTTCCTCCGCGCGCCGCAGAGCCAAGGCTCTCTCCGGCGCGGTCTGCGGGACCCTAGGCTGAGCGCGGTCCGGCGAGCGGAGCGCGAGGGAGGCGGCTCGGACCCCCGTAGACCTCGGTGCTGGGGTCCGGCCTGCCGTCAGCTAAGAGGCGAGGGCGGGGGCGCCCCTTAGACAAGACCCTCAATTAGGGAGAGAAAGAAACGCCCCCGCTGGCGGGCCGCAGAGCGCACCAGCCCGGTTGCGCTCTTGGTTGATTCCAAACGTTGGCTTCTCATTGGTTTCTCTGGTTGGGAAGATTAAGCGCATTAGGAGACTTGGATAAAACTACGAATCCCTAGAAGGAACGCCAAAAAAGGTGAAGGTAACAGGCAGCTATTGTTGTATTGATTGATTATTCACTTCCCAGAACAGTAACCTGTTCTGGTTGGAAAAGGGATCTGTTTTCTAAGAAATCTTCAAGAAATGCACGGGAAGCTTTCAGCCCAGTTGTTTGCATATGGGTGAGCCTTTGGGGACTGCAGGATTTCAAAACGTGGCAGCATAAAGGCTTTGAAGTAATTTTAAAAATTTTATTTATGGTTGTTCCAGGTCTTAGTTGCAGCATGCAGGACTGTTTTTCTTTCTTTTAGAAAACAGCAGCAGCTTTATTTCAAGACATAATCACCTGTTATGCAGGATCTTTAGTTGCTTGGCAGGTGAACTCCTAGTTGAGGCTTGTGGGATCTAGTTCCCTGACCAGGGATCAAACCCAGGGCCCCTGCATCAGGAGTGCAGCGTCTTAGCCACTGGACCACCAGGGAAGTCCTGAAGTGAGTGGCTTTTTAAAAGTGAAATTGTAAAAACTGAAGAAATGAGGTGAAATAGGCAGGCTGAACCGAATCATTTTCCCTGATTGAGCCTGACATGTCATCATGAATGGATCATCTCACATTGGTGAGAGGTGAGATACTCACTGATTCCCTCCATCCTACCATTCAATAATCTATCATCTATCAAACTATCTGTTCACCTTTACATTGGCATTCTGTCAGTTTTTCTTTAAGTTGCAAGAGCTCCTCAGTTTTCTCAGTAACTCATCTAAAAATTCCTTTAACTGGTAAAGATTTTTCCCCCTCCTTTTTGGGGAGACAGATTGACTAATTACAGTAAAAAATTAATAGTCTAGCCAGGATGGAACACTCATTTACAAAAACAATATAACAGCCTTTTTAGGTTAAAATAAAAAGCAAACACTCTTTTCATTTCTTTATGTTTGGTTAAGTGAGAGAAGGCCTAATGGAAATTAAATAGCCTACTATAACTTTAGTGATTACTAATTGTTAACTTTCCCAGCATTTCGGCTCATAAATTAAAACCAATTCTGTTTGGAGGCTAAACCAGTATACCTCCTGCGGCAGCCAGATGGGTCTTTTTTAGTCCGAAGAGATGCATAATGAGAGGGTAACAGGTAGGGAGGCCGGAGGGTCCCAAGTGGTAGGAGGAAATAAACTGCAAGTGGCAGATGTTTTTTTCCCTTCTCTGTTGAAGAAATCCATTCTGCCCAACACTAACCGTTTTCTTTTCTCAAACTTTGGGCTGATATGGCTCAACAAACCATTATTCATGTCAATTGTTTTAAGGCCAGGGATGACACACATGCCATCCTATCTCAAAAATGCACATTGTGGGAGCAGGGCCTGGCGAAGCTCCTTCAGCTTTGAGGTGTTTCTTCTATCTGATTAAAGGCTCACTAACAGACATAAAATGCCTTGCTAAAAACTAGCAGGGGGCACTCTGCCACTTCTGATGTCTACAGCAGAAGCTTTCCCTAACTCTGTTGTACTTTAGTAAAACTTGGCTACACAAAAAGCTCCAAGTAGTCAAGCCTCGTCTCTGACCCAGGATTAAACCCTCTCCTTCGGAGGTCATGAACACATGGCTTGCAGCAGCAAGCTCTCATCTCCGCCTCTGAAGGCTGGCAATCTTTCCAGCTGCCAAAAGAACTTGAAGTAGTGTGTCTGTCTGTTTGATTGAAGTTCACCTACCCTGCTCTCAAATCAGGGGCCTGATTTGAGGGGGCTCACTGGGAGGGGCCCCTCTGAGGCTGCTGTTCTCAGGGTCCGCCTTGCTCTGTTCCCTCTCCACCCTGGGTTTGCTGAGTGGAGCACCGGGGCTCCCTCTGGCCCAGGATGCAGGAGTTTGAACAGGACCCTGCCCTCCACGTTGTAGACTCCGCCGGGCCCTGGCTGCCATGCAGAGGCAGGCATTGTGGCACCGTGCTCTCCCAGGACTGAATTGAGCCTCTGTCTCTTGGTTCCCCCAGCCCTTTCAATTCACCCTGCCTGGCTTTTATCCTTCATAATAAACTGGCTGTTATTTTTCTCACGGCCCTACAGACTCTCATTAGCTTTCACTCTGAGTCCCAGGACACCAAAGGAATGGCTGCAGCTGAGCCAGCGGGAGCCCCCTTTTCTGGGGCGGAGCCAAGGGCCTTGTGAACCCCTGAGCAGTTCCTGGGCCCTCCGACCACGCAGGTGACGCTGCTGGCCTGCGGCAGGCCGGAGGCTGTGAATGAAGCTGGGGGGCTGAGCCGGAGGCTGTGAATGAAGCTGGGGGACTGAGGCCCCTGGGTGCCTGTGCCCCTGACCCACACCCCATCCCTGGAGGGGGCCCCCACACGCCACTCTCAAGAGGGGGTTTTGCAAGAGCCAACTGGAGTGCTTCCAGAGCTGATCTCGGGTCCTCCAGCTTTGGAATTTTCTAGGCAGATAGCAGCCCTCCTTTTTACTGTGGCTTTTCAGCACATCGCATAATCAAAACATCTCTGTGAGGTTTCTATAGCCCGCTTTCCCAGGGAACTGTGTCAGGAGGCTGTGCCGGAGCGTTGGGTCTGGCCATTGGTAGGCCTGGGTTCTGGTTCTGCAGGCGGAGCACTTCCTGGGGCAGTGAGGATGTGGGCTGTGGAGCCGCGGATGCTCACAAGGGGCGGGCCCTGTGTTCAGTCCTTTCACATGTAATATTCTGTCTAATCTCAACCCCTGGGAGCCAAGTGCTTTTATTCCCCCATTTCACAGATGGTGAAATCGAGCCGCAGAGGGGTGAGTAACTTGTCCTGAATCACACAGTGACTGTGCCGTGGGGCCAGCACGTGACTCTGATAGTAGAGACACGGTGACGCCACTGGCTTCCCCAGGGCTGAAAACTTGAAGGAACAGCTGGGCGTGGGCTTCCCTAGCGGCTCCATCGTAAAAAGTCTGCCTGCAGTGCAGGAGAGCTGGGTTTGATCCCTGGGTCGGGAAGATCCCCTGGAGAAGGGAATGGCAATCCACTCCAGTATTCTTGCCTGGAGAATCCCATGCACAGAGGAGCCTGGTGGGTTATAGTCCATGGGGTTGCAGAAGAGATGGACGCTACCTAGAGGCCAAGAAGCAACAACAACCCTCCCACAGCATATCACTTTCAAAGCATCTCAGAAAGATTCCCACAGACTCTGTTATTCAGAAGGTTTTATGTCTCTTTCGGCTAGTTAGGTCTTGATGTACTTTCATTTAGTTGCCTGCATGTGGGCTTTCTTTTCAACAGGACTGGCTTATCTGTCTTTGCTCTGATAGAAACCCTGGCCCAGCGGGACTGCGGCATCCAGGGCACTCACCAAGAAAGATCATGTCTCAGGGGCTGAGCCTGCTTCCCTGAGCACTCTGGCCATGTCTGTAATGTCTGTCTTCTAAGCTGTCAGGGGTCAAGAAGGGTTGCAGAGTGGCCTGGCTAATTGCACAGTGTAACTGTTCCGTTGGGGAAATCCACTGTGAGAGATGAATGCTACGAACCACATAGGAACTTGATGCTCCTGAAAAACAAGAAAGCAAACACACAAAAGGAAACCCAGCCCTTAGGTGTGACCTCTGAGAACTCTCTCTGTCACCGGTTTCTCAGACTAGAGAGGACAGGTTTTGTTTTTGCCTGAGAACCGTTATACAAGCTGGAGAGCTTCTACTATCCACCACCAAAACGACGCTTCCCACAAGAACTGGGGCTGTTAGGAGTATGCATTCTCACAGTTGTACACAATCTATAAGAAATATGGGCTTCCCTGGTGGCTCAGATGGTAAAGAATCTGCCTGCAACCTAGGAAACCCAGGTTTGATCCTGGGTCAGGAAGATCCCCTGGAGAAGGGAATGGCTACCTTCTCCAGTATTCTTACCTGGAAAATTCCATGAACAGAGGAGCCTGGCAGGCTACAGTCCACGGGGCCACAAAGAGTTGGACACAACTGGGTGACTAACACTATAAAAAATACGAATTCACTGTTTCATTAATTAAAAAGAAAATGCCAGTTAACTACAATGAGACTTTATTAACTTGTTTTTTTTCCTAGCTTATCTTAAAATCTGATACCTGCAGATTTTGTGTGCATGCACATTTGGGTACAGAAGTGTACCTGTTCAAGCTGGTTCTTAGGGCCTCCATTTATTCAGAGGAAAGTGATTTTTTTTTAAATGGAGTTAAAGTATATAAAGTACTTCTATTGAGTTAAAAAATTAGCTATCTCAGTAGGGCATGCTGCTAAGAAAATAATTTCTCTTATCTCTAACATGATGACCGTTTTTAGTTAGCCTGTAAACTTGTAATCTGTAAGTTTACTGTTTTTTAAGTGCTAAGCTCAGTCTTTCTCTGGGTTTAGTAAGCACAGGCACGCATCCTGATGCTACAGACTCGCTGAACACTGGTAACCACATGGGTCACAGAAGAGACGTATCTTACATTCTGCTTCTGAAGAGCGGGAATGATATGCCAAAAATACCTCATCATGAAGGAGGAAGACACTGAGTAGCTCTGTACTACTTCCTGGACACCTTGCTTTAGTGTAGACTCTCTCCTACGACAAAAGAGGGAGAAACCCAGTTCATCACCTCTAGTAACCAGCGGACCAGGCAGGGTTCTAGGCACCCTGCCCAGCCTCTTCCCTTCCTGATTCAGAGCATCCCCCAGGCATCTGGGAGGCAGGCTTACACCCCAACGTGCTGATCTTCAGAAAAACAGCCAAAATTAACGTTCCCCTCCCGAAATCAGTAGCTGTTATCATTGTTCAGCCACTCAGTCACATTTGACTCTCTGCCACCCCATGGACTGCAGCACACCAGGCCTCCCTGTCCATCACCGTCTCCCGGAGTTTGGTCAAACTCATGTCCTTTGAGTTGGTGATGCCATCATCACCAGTAGACTACATGCCACATTTCCTGGAAACCTTGTGTGGAGTTGCCTTCTAAATGTGCAGGGGTGAATCTCATATAGATTCTATTGGAATTCGATTTCATGGACGTGGTACAGTTTTGTCGAAAACACAGTGCTGTGGGGAGCCAGTGGGGCGGGGATGGCACAGAGACTCGGGGTGGGGGGCTTACTGGATGGAACGCGGGGCGGAGTGGGGGCAAGGGCTCCCAGCGACAGGTGAGGCAGCCTCCTGGGCAAGGTGGAGTTGACTCTTGCAGCGGGGAGGCATTTGGTCAGCTGTGGCCTTTTGGCAGGACACACACTGGCACTTGCTCTAACCTTGCCCTCCACTCCCCTGAACTGTCTGGTCCTCCGAACACACGAGCGACTTTGCACGTCTGGGTCCCTGTGCAGGTGCTTCCCTGAGCTCTCCCTCCTCGTGCGCAAGGCAGACTTGCAGCTTACCTTTCAACACCGGGCTCAGGTGTATCCCCCCAGAAAGACGCATCCCCGGTCCCCTGCCTTCTAATGACCAGGGCCAGAAAGGGCAGGCGGGCACTATTACAACATTCATGCAAACTGCCAGGGCTTCTGCACCCGTGACCTTGGTTGACCTTCACAGGTCTCCCATGACACAGAGTCATCCTCCCACGTTACAGACTTGGAAACGAGCCACATGCCAGCCCCAGGTGCAGCTGGGAGGCAAAACTGCTCTGCCCCGTAGCCGAGCCTGGCCACCTTCCTTTAGCGCTTCACCCTGCTGTCATTCGGGAGTCCTGGAGGCAGTCACCTCGCTGTGACTCCTGAGCCTGGCTCTGTCCCCAGAACGTGGCCCAGCTCATACACAGCACTGCTAACTGGAGGGTGGCCAGGGGCGGCCAAAGCAGCTTGCCCACGGCTACTCCCTGCCACAGGTATCTCTCACGGGCAGTGACAGTTTTGTTCACGGTTCCAGATGCAGAGAGTGAAGGCCCCAGCGGTCACACCTGAACTTCCAGGCTTCCACTCGCAGCGCCGCGGCTGGGCCAGGCCACGTGTGTCTCCTCCCCCGTGTCCTGCCCCGCTCCATCCCCCTACAGGATTCTGACGGTCAGGACCCACCTCCTCCTGCCCATCTCGGTTCTATCACCCACTTTTCTTTCTTTTTCACAGTTCTGCTCTCTCCCTCATAGAAAAGCACCTTTGATGACACTACAACTTTGATGACACCCTAAAGATGACTATGGGATTGCATTAAACCATTTTGGATCTACTCAAAGGGGATGGGGGCCTTATAAGACAATCGAGAAGAAAAAAAACTGCCTTTTCTTATCAGGACTATTACAGAGGTATGAAACTGTAAACACCAGATGAAGTAGGAAGAAGCTGCAATGAGTAACATGAACACCCCGTATTATTTCTGTCATTCACGTCTTTCTACTCCTGAGACTCTCCATCCCCACCTTTCATCCCCACTTTGCATGCATTCTCAGTCACTTCAGTTGTGTCCAACTCTTTGTGACCCCATGGACTGTAGCCTGTAAGGCTCCTCTGTCCATGGGACTTTCCAGGCAAGAATACTGGAGTGGGTTGCCATGCCCTCCTCCAGGGGGTCTTTCTGACCCAGAGATTGACCCGCGTCTCCTGCATCTTTGGCATCCCAGGCAGATTCTTTACTGCTGAGCCACCAGGGCAACTTCATCGCTACCTTCCAAGATTATCCTGAAAGGGCTCAGAGGAGCTGGAATGGGCGGGTGCCTGCAAGGCACCGCAATATGGAAGCGATTCCAAGCAGAGAGAGTCTGCCATTCACAGGGTCTTGATCCTCAGCTGCTCCTTTCAGGACCCCAAACCTGGAAAGAGGGACCAGGATGAAGAGTAAAAGGCAGGCATTTGACCAAAGTTGTGTTACATTAAATTGCAAGATGAACACTGCATTACGCATATTTAGAGCAGTTTCGTGGGTGTTTATGAATACAGCTGCATTATGGCTGTTGGTGTTCCAAAGACAAAAAAACCAGCTCCAGGCAAACAGGGTGGCGTTGTTCCCAAGCTCCAGGGTCAGGACTCCACCACTTGCACCTTTGAGTCTGGCAAGTGTGACACCCCCACCACCTAATACAGTCTTCAGAGATCCAATGCTGGGCAGAGGAGCATCAGCTTGCAGGAGCGCCCTCAGTAGGGGGTCAGGTCAGATAGCGTGACTTGGGCCTTTTGGACTGTTGTCCAGTTACTGCCTGAAAGGGTTCCTAAAATCCAGATACTTGTTTTAAGAGCCAGGAGTATAGCTTTTTAATGAACATTTTGGTCATATGCTTTGGACAGTTCTCTGAGTATTTACAAAGATCCACCATCCCTTGGCCAATGCTCTGAAGCCAGGCCTGTTTTGGAATTCACACTGTTTTGGGTGTTAGATAATATGCAGTATATATATTTATACCTTCTGGTGAACATGAGCATATGCCAGGAATCAAACAGATCCAATTAATTAATAATTCTGCATCCAAGTATATGCAAAGTCACAGGTCAAATACATTCAGACTGTAGATAGCCTCATCTTCTGGGTGGGGTTTGACACTCCATGAGAGTGAATGAGTCATGAAAAAGTTGTTTTCAGGGTCTTTTGGACTTTGGGATTATTCACATATCCAGGCATTTTGACTTGAAGGATCTGTTTATAATCCACTTGGGTTAATAAAGCCAAGCAGCACAGAACGACCAGAAAGTCTATGTGATCCGCCTTTGCCCATGTGGAAGGAAGATGCGTTGTGGGGAACAGGTGGGCTCAGAAAATATGCTCAACCCCTCATAAAAGTGGGTCCAGAGGTTTAGGTTTCCTGAAAAAGATAAAAAAAAGAGAGAGAGAACAGAGTCACACGTCCTCCTTTGAATCAGTCTCACACCAGCTTCTCCGGCTCTTCTACTAGGTCTGAAGGGCAGGGCCTGGATGGACCATCTTCTTAGGAGAGGTGTTTGCAGTGTGGTGGGATTGGGGGTCACCAGTCCCCCATGGGACAGGAGGGCCTGTGAGCCCCAAAGCTTAGGAGAAACTCCCCTCCTGAGGGCTCCTGAGTGCCTTCCTCACCACCACCAGGAATCCAGCACCACCTGCTTGCAGGATTCACCCCGCGTCCTCCCTGGCAGGCCTACTGATGCTGCCAGCCTCCAGGCCAGTTCTAAGACCTGCTTCCTGCTGCAGGCGCTGTGGAGCGGTCTCACCTGAAGGGTGGTTCCTGGGGTCGCTCTCCAGGGCTGGCTGTGCTGTTCTTGGCTGGGGGCTATTAAAAGCTCTCCAGGTGACCCAACGTGAGCCCAAGAACGGGGAACCACTGGCCTGGCTCTGTCCTTCCACTGATGGTCCAGGACACCTAGCCGAGAGGCAGACGGCCTTTGCCAGCATCAGCCAGCTCCGCAGAAAGGATGGGGTGAGGGCAGGTCAATGAGGGGCACCTGCTTCCTAAGACCTGGTCCTGGGCCTGATGGAGAAAATAACAAACGTGAGATTCTATCACAAACCTTTCACTTCATAATTCTTCTCTGCCCCGAGTAGCCCTGTGGTCCGTATGCTGGAGGGTTCTCTCCGGGCTGTCAGGAGCATCCTGGCGCGGGGCCCAGCTTCCGCGGGGTGACCCGTGCCCCTTCCTTCCAGTGCCAGGACTACCGGGGCGGCGCGCTGGGCGGAGACCTGTGCGAAGACCTGTGCGAGGCGGGGCAGCTGCGGTACCGGCGCTGCCTGTACTACGAGCGCGGCAAGAAGGTGCTGCAAGCCGACTGGCGTGGCCGGCCCGTGGTCCTCAAGGCCAAGGAGGAGGCCTTCTCCAGCTTCCCGCCGCTCGGCCTCCTGGACGGGCAGCCCGAGGCTGGCGGTCAGGACTTGCCGGAGGCCGAGCTGCTGGTGCTGGCGGCTGGGGAGGCCCGGAGCGCACTGGGCCTGGAGCCGGCCGAGGGTCGGGGCCAGCTGGCCAGCCTGTGGGCGCTGCTGCAGCAGGAGGAGTTCGTGCTGCTCAGCCTGCTCCGCGGCCGCAGCCCGCACGCCCCGCCCGTGCTGGGCTCCTGCGGCCACTTCTACGCCGTGGAACACCTGGCGGCCGGCAGCCCCGGCCACCGCGCCCTCTTCCCGCTCGGCCCGGACGGCGGGCGCCGCGGCCAGGCGCGCGCGGTCAGCGGTGTGGCGCTCAGCTTCCTGGACATGGTCCGCCACTTCGACCACGACTTTGCCCACCGCCTGCACCTCTGCGACGTCAAGCCCGAGAACTTCGCCATCCGGAGCGACTTCACGGTGAGGGGAGGCCGGGGGAGGCTTTGGACCTCGCGGGGGGCGGACTTCGGTCCTGGGGTCCTAGACTAGAGGGTGCTGAAGCCCCCCGGGAAACCCTGCAGCGTAATGCCGCCTTCTGGCCTGGACAGCTCTGACCCGCCCGACCTTTGCGGGTGGGAATGAGCGCATTTAAAGGAGGAAGGCGCCTGGCTCCCCGGGAAGGGAACGGTAAGGCAAGCCGTCATAGCAGAGGCTCGGTGGGTCTTCCTCCACTGCTGCCCTGGTTTCTCCCAAGCAGTCCGTCCTTCGGGCTAATCCGGCTTCAGACGGTGAAGGATCCGCCTACAATGCGGGAGAGCCAGGTTCCATCCCTGGGTGGGAAAAATCCCAGGGAGAAGGAAATGGCAACCCACTCCAGTGTTCTCACCTGGGAAATCCCATGGACAGAGGAGCCTGGAGGGCGACAGTCCATGGGGTCACAAAAGAGTCGGAGACGACTGGGCGACTGCACTTTCAGGAGATGACGGAAGGCCGGCCTTTGGGGGCTTCGGTACAAAGGTCCAGGGGGCGGGGACACCGGTTTCCAGCCGCCCACACTGTATGACCACAGGCCACGTCTCTAGTTCTTTCTTCTGGAGAGGTTCTAGTCCGTTCCCTTCCCTGGGTAAGACTTTTTCTAGAGGAACAGATGAATCTTTGCTGCTTTACACAAGAGAACATTTGTCCCCTGATGGACACGTCAGCCTCCATGTTGCCCTTCGAGTGGCAGGTGAATTTTATGTCCCACTCCAGGCTGTGCAAAGTTTAGTCACCAAGTCCTGTCCGACTGTGGACTGTAGCCCATCAGGCTCCTCTGTGCATGGGATTTCCCAGGCAAGAATAGTGGAGTAGGTTGCCATGCTGTCCGCCAGGGCATCTTCCCAAGCCAGGAATCGAACCCGAGTCTCCTGCATTGGCAGGCAGATTCTTTACCACTGAGCCGCCAGGGACGCCCTGACTCCAGGCAGTGCAGATGTGCAAAGAATTAACCAAGGTGCAGAAGCAGCAGGAGGACTCAGACCCCAGTGGTGGGATGTGGCCATCTGAGTTTGGAAGCCAAGCCCTCAAGGCTATTACGGATACACTCAGTGTGAGAACTAATGAGCTTGGAGACCAGCAGATGGGCCCCCCTTTGGGCCATGTTGCAGTGTTGCCCAGGTGGATGGGGGCATGTCTCCCAGGTAACCTGTGAGAGTTGATGACCCGCAGTCATTCACTTTTTTCAGGTCTTCCCTTGCAGGTCTTGAGAATTTGTCCAGTGGTTTCAAATGAACTAGGAATCCCTCTTTACTTCTTGTTCCCAAACTGCCGCCAGAAAGCACGCTTTTCAAACAGATTTCCTACTCTAGAGGCACAGTCTTAAGTAGAGAAGGAAATAATTCTCACCAGTTCTTTCCAGTCTGATGCTAGGATGGAGTATGATGATGATGCAAGTTAGGTAATTTTGTGCAGGAAGAACTTTACAATTCATTCTGATGTGATCTAAGAAGCCTCGTGCAGGTTTTTCTGCTCATTTTGTTACTGTTCTTATTGTAGGTGCATAGAGTTATGCTTCCAGTAGCTATAATCCATTCTACGGACTATACTAAAAATTGAAAAATAAATCTGGCTCTTGTTGGGAGATGAGAAGGGAACAATCAGAGCTGGAAGGTCCTGGAGGAAGCTGGAGAGATGACCAGGGATTATCAAAAGAAGAGAAGGGTCTCGCAGCTCCAAAAATAAATTATGAAAGACAGTAGACTCATTATTGGTAAAGAATCTGCCTGCAATGGAGGACACCTGGGTTTGGTCCCTGGGTCAGGCAGATCTGGAGAAGGAAGTGACATCCCACTCTAGTACTCTTGCCTGGAGACTTCCATGGACAGAGGAGCCTAGAGGGATGCAGTCCATGAGGTTGCAGACTTGGACAAGACTTAGTGACTAAACCACCACTGATGTATTTTTAGTGTGTTAACCAGGATAAATAATGAAATAAGCTATTCTTTTGGCTAAATAGAGATAGAGAAAATCAATTAAAATGGTAATTTCTGTTTGCAGTCCCTGAATTAGTAATTAGGCAAAGCTCTCAAATAGGGAAAAGTTCCCTGTTCATTTCTTCCCTTATTCTCCACATATCTTGAAATAAATTATTTTCCCTCCTGTGTTTTACTGAATAATCCCCACAAAACTTTACTGCCTTCTGGCATCAATCTTGAAGAAAGAAGAGAAACAACAAGCTGGGAATGTGCCTCCTGACTTTGCATAGATTTGAGGAGAAAATGAACCCTTATTTGAGATGCTACCAAAGGGAGAAAGCTGGTGTGTTGAGGCTGACCTGTGAAGGCTTGTGAAATGCCACAGACTCCGTCAACTCATCCAGCCTTCTAATAGCTCTTTAATACCTTGAAGCTATACATTACCTGATTTGGGCAGAGTCCAGGTTTTCTCAGGTTTGAGCTCATCTTTTTTTTTCCCCCTAATTCAGGTGGTGGAGGAAAATCTGCATAATTTAGACGCTCTTCTTTTTTTCTGGTTTTGAAGCCTCTTTGGGTTGAAGCCAGGAAGTTAAACCTGAAATTCCAGGGGGTCATCACATTTTCATGCTGATAGTGGGACTTAGTTTTTGATGCTGTTGCATCTGGGTCCATAAGTATTGATCCTAATTCGACAACTTTGGCCCTGCCACTTGCCCCTGTCAGTTGGAAACCAGTCAGCTCAAGGAACAGGCCATAAATAGACGAGGTACACGTTGTCCACCTCATTCTCCCCATCACACCCTCGCCCTGCCCCTTGAATGTAGTTTTCTTTTGTTGCTTATATTCATAGGAATAAATGACCTGTGTCTCATAGCTTCTATATTCCTGAGCCTTGAATGTCAGAAGCCAAGTGGTAAAGCAGTGGAGGGGGCGTCAGTTCATTTGTAAGAAGTTTCAGAGATTCACCGTTAAAATCTGAGAAAACGTTCAGCGGTGAAGAGCGATCCTGGTTGCATGTTCCCGACCCCCAGTGACCAGAGCGGTCCTCTTGCCGTTAAAGCCGTGCATCCCGGTCTCTGTCCCTGGCCTGGCCCAGCCCTCCTCGCCGCGGCCGGGGTCCTGTGCCCCGTCCTGAGAGCCGCGTGCTGTTTCTATTGCAGGTGGTGGCTATTGATGTGGACATGGCTTTTTTTGAACCTAAAATGAGGGAAATTCTCGAGCAAAACTGCACGAGGGATGAAGACTGCAATTTCTTTGATTGTTTTTCGAAGTGTGATCTGAGAGTGCACAGGTGTGGGGCCCAGAGAGCCAACAGTAACCTGCAGGTGAGCGGGCCGTCCTCTCCGGGGGCCTGTCCTCTCTGGGGGATCCTGTCCTCTCTGGGGGGACCCTGTCCTCTCTGGGGGCCTGTCCTCTCTGGGGGACCCTGTCCTCTCTGGGGGGCCCTGTCCCTCTTGGGGGGTCCCTGTCCTCTCTGGGGGGCCCTGTCCTCTCTGGAGGATCCTGTCCTCTCTGGGGGAGCCCTGTCTTCTCTAGGGGATCCTGTCCTCTCGAGGGGGGCCCTGTTCTCTCTGGGGGATCCTGTCCTATCTGGGGGGCACTGTCCTTTTGGGGGGGACCCTGTCCTCTCTGGGGGGGGCACCGTGTTCTCTTGGGGAGACCCTGTCCTCTCTGGGGCAAGGGACCATGTTCTCTTGGGGGGACCCTGTCCTCTCTGGGGGGCCCTGTCCTCTCTGGGGGAGGAGACCCTGTCCTCTCTGGGGGAGGGGATGGTGTTCTCTCCGGGGGGGCCCTGTCCTTTCTGGGGTGAATCCTGTCCTCTCTGGGGGAACTCTGTCCTCTCTGGAGGGGACCCTGTCCTCTGTGGGGGGAACCCTGTCCTCTCTGGGGGAGGAGACCCTGTCTTCTCTGGGGGAGGGGATGGTGTTCTCTCCGGGGGGCCCTGTCCTCTCTGGGGTGAATCCTGTCCTCTCTGGGGGAACTCTGTCCTCTCTGGAGGGGACCCTGTCCTCTCTGTGGGGGGAACCCTGCCCTCTCTGGGGGAGGGAACCCTGTCCTCTGTGGGGGGGGAACCCTGTCCTCTCTGTGGGGGGAGCCCTGTCCTCTCTGTGGGGGGAACCCCGTCCTCTCTGGGGGAGGGAACCCTGTCCTCTCTGGGGGAGGGACCCTGTCCTCTGTGGGAGGAACCCTGTCCTCTCTGGGGGAGGAACCCTGTCCTCTGTGGGGGGAGCCCTGTCTTCTCTGGGGGAGGAACCCTGTCCTCTCTGGGGGAGGGAACCCTGTCCTCTCTGGGGGGAGCCCTGTCCTCTGTGGGGTGAACCCTGTCCTCTCTGGGGGAGGGAACCCTGCCCTCTCTGGGGGAGGGACCCTGTCCTCTCTGGGGGAGGGAACCCTGTCCTCTCTGGGGGGCCCTGTCCTCTCTGGAGGGGACCCTGTCCCCTCAGGAGGAGAAGACCCTGTCCTCTCTGGGGAGGGCACTGTGTTCTCTTGGGGGGGCCCTGTCCTCTCTGGGGAGCCCTGTCCTCTCTGGGGGAGGGACCCCGTCCTCTCTGGGGGAGGGACCCCATCCTCTCTGGGGGAGGGACCCTGTCCTCTCCGGAGAGCCCTGTCCTCTCCGAGGGAGGGCCCTTGTCTGAGGGGCCCTGCCCCCTTACCATGGCTCCTGCTGACGCACCTGGAGGCCGTCGCCATCTCCCCACCACCAGGGCTCTGTGCGCCCAGTGAGGGCAGGGATGGGGGTGGGGATCGTTCATTCTTTGTCTACCTGGGAGAGGGGCTGTGGGCCAAGTGACCCCAGGGCGCTAATGGATGGTGCCCCCATCACGGCCATTACTGGGTCCCCCACAAACATGGGGGTGTCTGTTCTCTCTGGGCCCAATTTCTATATCTACACACACACATGCACACACACACACATGCACACACACAATGAGCACTTTTTTATATCAAACTAAATTCCAGATGGCTCAAATACTTGCACCTAGAAAATGAGATCCTAAATATTCCAGAAAAAACTAGGAGAATTGAAGATACCCTAAAGTTTGGAAGACCTATCTAAGCACAGAACAAAGCTCAGAGGCTATAAGAGGAAAAACTGACACATTTAACCATCTTAAAAAATCCCTTTTGCAAAAGCAAAACAAAATTACAAAAAATTTGAGTATATTTAAAAGTTAAATGAGAAAACTGGCAAACTGTCTGCAACTGCTCTCACAGATGAGGCTAGAGGACAGAGGTGGCCTTTACCCCCAGCTGCTGAGATTCAGTGTCCCCCAGGATCATCCTTGGCCCACCAGACATTCTCCACTGTGGTTACCCCACATCCCAGGATCAGTCTAGTGACTGGTCAGAGGGGGCAGGGGGAGATGCAAAACCTAGCCCCCTTAACCTGTATAAGGAACAGCTCTATAGGGCATCCCACCACCAGAAGCTCACCTTATCCCTCAGTTCCATGGAAAGATGGTTCCTGAGAACCCTCAATAAATCCCTGCATGTGAACCTCCGTCTTACAGTCTGCTCTGAAGGAAACCAACCTAAGCAAGGGGCCAGTGTCCTTAATATATAAGGAGCATTTACAAATCAATATGAAAAGGCCAACAACCTAACAGAAATGTGGGCAAAGTCTATCAATTTGACCGGTCACTGGAAAGGAAGAACAAATACTTTCAACCTGACTGATCAGAAGAGTGATACAAATCGGATCATTTTTCAATTGACAAAAATGAAAGACAACACACATTGTTGAGGGTGTTCTTCGTGTACATTGCTGTGAGAGTGTAACTTGGTACAACTTTTATGGGGTCAATCTGGTAATATCTACCAGAACAAAAATGTGTATACCCTTTGGCCCAGAAATTTCATTTCCAGAAGTTTAGTCATGTTCAAAATGAAAATGACATATCTGCAAGATATGCATTTTTCATAATAGCAAAAGTTAGTGAGCAACCTAAATTTCCATCGGTAGAGAACAAGCTAAATAAATTATGATATGCATTTGAGGTACAGTCATTAAAACAAATGGAATAGCTTTATAGTGATTTGTAAGGTCTCTCTGATATTTGGTTAAATGAAAGTTATAGAACAGTGTGTGTAATATACTCCTATCCATGTAAAGTAAAAGAAAAAGGAAATGCATGAAAAAATAACCCTCCAGAAGGACATTCAAGGGAGTGGGTGCCTCTCTGAGCTAAGAGCTGAGTGTCTGGTTTTTAGGAGTTGGATGGAGCTTAAGATTAAAGCCTATTTGGGGGAACATTTTCAATGTTTGCACGTGAAAATGCATTATCAATTCAAAAGAGAAATAAGATCATTTGTTTTTAAATAGAACCCTCATCCTTGCAGAGATTAGGAAATGAAAGTCAAAATTATTTGTCTCCCATAAACAGTAGATCTATAAAATTGAGGCATTTGTTAAATGAGTCCAATATAAAGTGTGATGTAGAAAAATAGAGCAGAATATTAATTATGTATGAATTGTGCTCCATCCAACAGCAAGAAAATCAGGAAGGCTGTAAAACAGCAGAACAGAATGCTTAAATTGAGAATTTAAAGAGATCTTCAGCCCCGTAAATTTCATACCCAAGGAGAATTAAAGACTGTGAGAGAGAGGCTTCATTTTTACTTCTCCTAAAATAAAGCATCTTAAAGGCTCCTTGGGCTTCCTGGGTCGGGACGATCCCCTGGAGAAGGGACAGGCTACCCACTCCAGTATTCCTGGGCTTCCCCGGTGGCTCAGATGGTAAAGAATCTGCTTACAGTGTGGGAAACCTGGGTTTGATCCCTGGGCTGGGAAGATCCCCTGGAAGAGGGCATGGCAACCTACTCTGGTATTCTTGCCTGGAGAATCCCACGGACTGAGGAGCCTGACAGGCTCCAGCCCAAGGGGTGGAAAAGAGTCCAGACATGACCGAGTGACTAAGCACAGCACAGCACACAAAGGCTCCTTAGAAGAAGGAGCCTCTCCCTTCCAATATGCCTTTTTCTTAGGGAGCCGAAAGTGCTATCACATTCACATACCCCTTGTCACCAGCATGTCCCGTGGCCTTGGGGACCACCTGCCAGGTGGTGATGACTGTCACTGACCAACCTTGAATGAAAAAGCGAGGCCTGTGATTGCAGGGCTGGCAGCCTAGGGCCGCCTGGGGCCTACTCCTTACACGGCAGTTCCCGGCTGTGACTTCCTGCTGCAAGCTCCTCCATGGTCTCTGAGCATCACCTAGAGCTTCCCCCTCGACATCTCTGCCCCTGCGGGGCAGCCTTCTGGTCTCCAGTGTTGCTGAGCGGGTGGGGTTCTGGGAGGGGTTCCTGGGGAAGGAAAGGTGCTGGAGGCAACCACCGCATGCCCTGAGCTGACTGTCACCCTCTCCCCCAGGTGGTCTGCGACAAGATCTTCCGCCACTGGTTCTCCTCGCCCCGTGGTAGCTCCGCGATGTTGGGCCCGCTGCGGGGGCAGCTGCAGGCAGCGGTGCAGGAGTGCGCGGCCCCCAGCGCCCAGGGCACACCCCGCATGCTTGGGAGGCTGCGAAGCCTGCTCCAGGCTGCGCTGCGGGAGCTGCAGGACGGCGAGGAGCTGCACCCCTGGGCGAGGAGCGGTCCACTCGGGGACACTCACCGTGGGACCCTGGGCGCTGCCCGGAAGGCCCCAGCCGGCCTCGGCCATCACCCCCTCGAGTGACACGAGGGACGGGTCTGGCGCCAGGGTCTGCCCTGTGCGGGAGCAGGAGTGTCCACAGGGCCCTGCAGACTCCCAGTGCCACAGCGTGCACAGGAGTGTGCGCATGCATGTGCACAGGGTGTGCAAGTGTGCACGAGCACGTGGCCGTGAGAGCTGTGCAGGTGTGTGGACGTGTGTGAGTAGGTGAGTGTGAGCGAGTGTGAGCAGATGAGTGCCTGGGGCGTGTGCTCCTCCAGGTGGGGAAGGCGCTGTCTCTGGCAGGTCCTGGAGCCTTGGGCCTCCCGAGCAGAGTCACCTTTGTTTTGGAATTGAAAACATTAAAAAACACAAGTTCTGGGAGCTATAGTCTGTACTCTGAGTGTGTAGAAGCACAGTTTATTGTACTTTTCATTGTGAGAAATGCATGGCTTTCCTGGATGAAAATCGGGAGCACTTCTTACCTCAGTCCGTCCTCCCTCAGAGCAGGGCCTGCAGGCTCAGTGTGCTCGGGGGCAGGAGGCCAGGTGGTGGGTGCCCGCCGTCTCTGCCGCCCCAGTGGGGACCAGGCCGTGGACTGGACATCGGCATCTGTGGGCAGAATTGCTTCTGGTGGCTCCCGACCACCGTGCTCTGCTGCAGGAGACCAAATGGGAGGAACCGCATGCCAGCCTCTCCCTGGTCGGGCAGCTGAAGCCAGGCCAGACGTCTGTCCATCCTGGGGAGACATAGACATCCTAGTCCACGTATGGGGACCGTGAGAGCTCAGCCGACAACCGCAGGCCACCCTGAAGATTGATCCAGAAAGACGCCAAGAGAGGATAAGGGATTCTGTTGAAGATTTACAAATAGAAGACTAATTAATTTGAAGTTTTAAAAGGTCATTGTTGTTTAGTTGCTAAGTCGTGTCGACTCTTTTGTGACCCTGTGGACTGTAACCAGCCAGGCTTCTCTGTCCATGGGATTTTCCAGGAGAGAATACTGGAGTAGGTAGCCAGGGGATCTTCCCGACCCAGGGATCGAACCCATGTCTTCTGCATTGGCTGGTGGATTCTTTACCACTGACCCACCAGGGAAGCCCCATACTCCCATAAAAGTGTTTTTGAAAAAGAAACTAAGTTGGAATATTTGGGCTGACTTGACTTCTTTGTGGGCTTCCCAGTGGCACTAGATGTAAAGAACCTGCCTGCTAATGCAGGAGACATAAGAGATGCAGATTGGATCCCTGGGTCGGGGAGATCCCCTGGAGGAGGGCATGACAGTCCACTCCAGTATTCTTGCCTGGAGAATCCCATGGACAGAGGGATTGTGGGCTGCTGTCCATGGGGTCACAACAGAGGCAGAAACTGAGTGAACTGGCACGCACAGCTGCTTTGCCCTTTGTTTTCTCCAACAGAGACTGGAGAGGAGAAGAATGGTATGCACCATCCTTATCAATCAAGAGTCATTACAAATGGTCAATCCCAATTTTCACAATGTATTAATGCAAAAAGCACACAAGTAAAGCATTTACTGAATCATTTATGAAAAGTGAAAGTGGCTCAGTCGTGTCCGACTCTTTGTGACCCCATGGACTTCTCCAGGCCAGAATACTGGAGTGGGTAGCCTTTCCCTTCTCCAGGGGATCTTCCCAACCCAGGGATTGAATCCAGGTCTCCTGCATTGCAGGTGGATTCTTTACCAGCTGAGCCACAAGGGAAACCCAAGAATACTGGAGTGGGTAGCCTAGCCCTTCTCCAGGGGACCGTCCCGACCCAGGAATCGAACCAGGGTCTCCTGCATTGCAGGCGGATTGTTTACCAGCTGAGCCATTAAGGAAGCCCCCATTTACGGAAAGGGATATACTTCCTGGAAATCACAGCTGCCTTGGCAACTGCCAGGTGGTTGGTCAGCACATTCCTGGAGAACAAGGAAACACAGCACATTTCTGAGAACTTTCTGGAGAAAAGCACCTTGAGAAACACTCCGCTCTTCATTTTTATGTTGTTCCAAAGCAGCTTGTCATCTGGATAGGTTTTCACAAGAAGGGTGAATTTTCTCTTAACCACTTAAATTATTTTCTGTCTTTGGTCCCAGTTTTATTTTACTGCTGTATGTCAGAACATACAGATTGACCTGGCGTTTGAATGATAGTAAGTATGAGCTTATTGGAAGGCTCCTGAACTTGGAGCCAGAAGCCTGGGGCTAAGGTTCTGGTTCTCATGCTAACTAATTGTGTAACTTTAGATGAGGCAATTGCCTCTGCTTCAGTTTTCTCACCTGCAAAATGTGATGTAAATGTTCCTTGGGACTCGAACGAGCTGAGTAGTCCAGAGAATTAATGCGCAGGTGCAAATGTTCCCCTCTAAAATATGTGTGTTTTAATCCACTTAGCCGTTTAAGTCAATCCCCTTCTGGCTCATGTTACTGAAGGGGGCTCCTCAAAGAGCAAGGACACAGCAGAAGGGGGAGGGGGCTGGTGGGGTCTCTGGAATGGCCCTGGGTGGGGCTGGCTGGAGCAGAGCTGGGAAAGGCTCATGAATATTCCATGATTGGCGCAGAAAACTTTTCTACTTATCACTAATTTTTGAACTCCCCAAAGTCAGGTTTTCCCTCATCTTTTCATTTTAGAACTGTAGAACCCTTTCTCTTGTGTCAAGAGTAAGGCTTTGCTCATAGAAGATATGCTGAAAAGTGCAGTGGTTCCAAGTATGATTCAATCTTTATTAAAACTTCTACAAAAGGCACTTGTACTGTAGCTAACAGGGCTTCCCAGGTGGCTCAGAGGTAAAGAATCCACCTGCAAGGCAGGAGACACAGGTTCAGTCCTTGGGTCTGGGAGATCCCGTGGAGGAGGGCGCGGCAACCCACTCCAGTATTATTGCCTGGAGAATCCCCATGGACAGAGGAGCCTGGTGGGCTACCGTCCATGGGATCCCAGAGAGTTGGAGACAACTAAGCGACTAAGCAACAACAAAAAGCTGTAGCTGATGTGGAGAACTGACCCTGACAATCCTGGAGGGGAGAATGCTACTTGGACCCAGTCAGGCACAAAGCGGGGGTCTCAGTCACAAACGGAGCTGGCAGAGACGTCGGAAGCGTTGCCATCATGGCAGCTCCCTCTGAATAAGACTGGTTGACAGAAAACGGTGGAGCAGGGGTCCTCCGTGGGGCGTCCCAGAAGCATCTGGAAGCACCTTTGAAGTGGGAAGGTCCCAGGTGTGGAGCCAGAGTCTCTGGGGCTGAGACCACTCCAAGAGCTGGAGGACAGCGTCTGCATCTGCACTAGGGAAGGCCTCTTACCGCCTGGCTCCCGGGGCCTTGGCTGGGTGTGAGGCCTCCAGCTGGTGTTTGCTCAAGCAAGCTCCTCTGAGCTGCAGGGCATTGAGTCGGTTTGTCCGTAAAGGATCACCTTTGCGTAAGAATGGCTGCCCGAGCGCTTCTGCATAGTAGACACGGAAGGACTTCTGTCCTCCCAACTCCTATTCCTGACGTCAGAGCCAGCCGTCATCAGCCCCTTTATCAGACTTCCGACCGGTGCTCCAGGGGTGTGTCTGCCCTGACCCTTCAGCCCCCAGTCTTAGCAGGGAAAGTGCCACTCTGCCCCCATTTCGCTGGGAACTGCCCCCTCCTGCGGCTCCTTGCTGCTCCGTCTCACAGCCCTAGGAGAACACCCTTGGCAGGAATGCCCAGGGCAAGAACAGAAGACATGCAGGCACCCACTGGGTGTGTGATTGCTAAGTGAGAACGGTGCCCCCGACCCCATTGGGACTGTTCTGACTCATTCACTCCTCTCGCTCCGCCTTTGCTGCCAAAGCTTGAAAGAAATCTCTGGTCTGGGGCAGAGTCCAGAGTCTACTTACCAGGCGTCACATTGAAAACACGTCTTAAGAAACTGCAGGACCATTTTCAGCGGTTCTGGAGGCCTTCCCTGGAGGCTCTTGCCCCTCTTCTCAGCAGGAGTGCTCTCTCTTCCTCGCATTTCTGAAGACTACAGGCCTCTGGACCTGGTTTCCCAGAGGCGATGATGAGATGGACCCCCATCCCCTCTCACCTGTTTCTCTTCTGAGCAGGGCACCCCTGTGGGTGTTCTGGAACTATCTGCCTAGCTGGAGGGGACCTGACTGGCCCGATCCTCACCTTCCTTCCAACCATGTCTTCTAGGCACCGCACGCCATTTCGGAGCCTGGAAAGAGCAGGCGAGGCTCCGTTATTTTGTTCCACTTCATATCAGTCATCACACTGCTTCCCCGAGCCGGAGGCAGAGTATCATCCCCAAGCCTCTTTTCTCCAGACTCTCAGCACTTCAAACCCACTACTTTCCTTCTCCCTAATCACTTTTCCTTTCATCCTATCCAGCGTCTGACCAGCCTTTGAAGGCAGGGAGATGAAACTGGAGAGGTCTAACCAGGAGTCGTGTCCCTCTGAGAAAGCTACAAAATGAATGAGTGCTTTTATTTTATTTTATTTTTTTTGAATGAGTGCTTTTAATCCGCGCTTTGACTTACTGTTAAAAGCTTCCTGTTTAACCTCTTCTCCTGCCACATCTTTAATTTTCCTCTTTCCTCTGAAAGTATTTGGCTGAACCCTCTGCAAACTGGGGGATTCCCAGGTGGCTCAGTGGTAAAGGGTCCACCTGCCAATGCTGGAGATGCAGGGGACGTGGGTTCAATCCCTGGGTTGGGAAGGTCTCTTGGAGGAGGAAATGGCCACCCACCCCGGTATTCTTGCCTGAAAGACAAGTAGCCTGGTGGGCTACTGTCCATGGAGTGGGTAACAAAGAGTTGGACACGGCTGAGCAACTGAGCACGCACCTCTGCAAGCCGGGGCCCCAGGCCCTGTGGCTTCTCTGCTGTGCAGAAGCCAGGGTTGACCTGGGGGCTGCCCAGTGAGGAGTGGCCGGGTCCCCTGGGGGGCAGCACCGCCACCCCCAAGCACAGCTTCACAGAATCAGGGCGTCCGTAGCAGCGGAGGCGCTGAGGGGCCTCTGATCCCTTTTTCTTGCCGGGCGTCCTGCTCCAAGGGTGTTAACATTGAGGGCTTTA